TAACTGTTACCAGAATATTAAACAGGGAGAGAGAGAGGAACTTATCTGTGTGATGACTGATTAAACTAAAAAGAAGAGGAAGAGCATTGTAACACTTTTACTCCCCTAAGGCAGCCCAGAATACAGGGCCCTGAGTCCGGCAGAGGATGAAGTCCCAGCTTCGGTAGAGGAATACTTTGCTGGGCACTGCTGTCCACCCACCTGTCCAGTCGAAGGTGCTTTATTATTTTTATTATTATTACCCCAATAAAGCACCTTCTACTTGTTCTGGGAAACATTAAATGCTCCCATCCCACTCCTGGCATGGATGGCAGCTCCCTTGTAGGGCATCTGCGGTTGGAAACGTGGGCACAGGAGGCTGATGCCATGCCTCTTGCTGGCACCCGAGCCATCCCGAAGCCTTCACATGGGCAGGCCTGGCTCCTTGGCCCACCTTTCATCTAAGGCGGCCATGAGCCCCGATCGATTCCTTTGAAACAAGGTGGCAGAGGCTGCTTCCTCCCTGCCCCCTGCCCTGAGCTCATCTGTGGCGCTGTGCCCACCGTGCCTCTTGCTGGCTTGTGCTCCGTGGGCAGCCAGCCACCCTGCCCATCCTCATGGATTTTTCCTCCTCTGGTGCTGGATTATCAATAACATTGGTTTCTGCTGGTAGGCAGCGGCCGTGGCCCCTGCTGAGCAGTTTCTGTCCCAGCGCTCCTCATTTACTCTGCTAGTTGAGGAGACCGGCTGTGAAGAAGGTGCTTTGGGACTTCCAGGAGAGGGTGACGGGATGCTGGGGAAGGGAACGGGACAGGCTTGGCCCTTGCCCATCCAGGAGCCCCTTGGCAGGAGGTCTCTGGTGGAGAGGGTCTTGCCAGCCGTTGCCCGGAGCGAGAGCTGCTCTCTTTGCCTGCTGTTTGCAGGATGCAGATCTCAGCCAGTCTTTGACAAAAGCAAATCCATGGAGAGGATTGGGTTGTGCCATTGTGGCAGGATAACGACTTTCAGCCCTTGCTGCCCCTCTGGGATCAGATCCATTTATTCGTTCTATCAAATGAGAAGCCCAGCAATCGCCTAGATGCCGAGCAGGAATTGAGGGATGTTAAGAGGGAGGCCCTGAGGGGACGGTTTGAAATGCCAATAACTATAGCAGTGCGGATTCTGTGCTGGTAAACCGACAGGCATAAAAAGGTGTGCCTTTAATGCAAAAAAAAACAACCCATTTCATCTTGTTGCTGTTCCTAAGTGGCTGGGGGAAGCGACGAAGCAGGAGGAAGAGCTGATGCCATGCACGCCTGATGTAAGACGTCACTGCTTTGTATCGGCAACACAACCCAGGGGTTGGAAAACAGACAAGTCCTGCCGGGGTCTTGAGCTGACACGGGCCTCGAGCTCAGTCTCATGTCCTGCTTCAGCCCCTGTGAATTCTCCTAAAGGATCCACGCTCTGCATTGTGCGTTGAAACCCGTTTCAAGCCTCTTTGATGCTCATGGCTTCGTCCTTCTCAGGTTTGATGCCATTCCCTTGTCAATCCTGAAGGGTTTTTATTTCAAAAAATGTTGGGCTAGTTAGGAAATGGTATATTTTTTTTTCAGCCATAACCAGCGGAGGCAGGCAGAGTGGGTCACTTGTAACAAGAAAGATAATCAAGTTCTTTTTGGAAAGAAAACGCCTTGCTAAGCTCTGCAGCCTAACTTAGATACTGAAGCATCAGAGACGCCAAACCTAAAGAATCCGCCTTGGAGGTGTGTGGCTGGCATCAAGTTTGATCTCAGCGGGTACAAAGAAAGATCATTTTCTAACCTATCTCGAGAACCATAAGGACTAGAAACTTGACTGGAGAAAAAAACAGAAACAGAAGCCAAGATTCCTATGAACCTAAGATCACTGGTGACTTTTCTGACCCCCTGTCGAATTGCAATCTATACACCAGAGTGTGGAAACGTTATGTCTGGGGGATGACAAGATCCAGAATCTCCAGGCCAGCTACGATTCAAAATGTAGTCTCCAGACCCAGTAATTTTGTAGGAGCAACACTCTTCCCCCAGCCATTTTGTGGCTGCTGTGCTTGCTTGCAGGGGCTGCACTGCTGTTCCTCTCCCCCACCCCGGTCTTCTTCCATCGGCTCAGTCTGTTACCCTCCAGCGCTTGGAAGGCTGACTCTTGTACGTTTGAAGCCGTCTGCCTCGCTGCTCTGCTCTCGGCTGGATGATGGCTTTTGAATCCGGCTGCCTTTGTAGCTCCCGCTCTGAAAACTTTCCCTTGCTCTCTGAAGTCTCTTATCAAAAGCAGAGGTGGAGAGAGAGAGAGAGAGAGAGA